AAAGCATGCTGTGAAAAACAAGACCAATCATCTCAACGATGGGTTTGCTACTTGAAGATAATCAGACATCACAATTGGAATGTCTACGAGCACTGTAGTCCTAAAGTACCTACGTGAGTATGAACGGGGTGTCAATTCATACTAGTAAAAACAGCATGATTACTAGCGTTTATGTAACCTCATTATATGCTCCAAGTCTTTTACAGGAAATAACTTACAGACCCTTGTAACAGCACTACAAAATCAATACTACCTATTTACTCCCACATATTAAAAGAGGAAACTGAGGAGCAGAGGAGTAACTTGCCCAAAGTCCCACAACTGGTAAGCAGAAAAATGGGATTCGAAGTCAGAAAGTCTGGCTCCACTTAACCATTACCCAAACTCACCTGTCTTCGCACCTCAGATGTAAGGTACTTGGGGAGTTACTAAGTCTGCATTAATTGGAAATAGAATCCACTTACTGCTAAAACGACAGCAACTTTTCCACTGGATTTTTACTACCCTACTTGTGGCTAATATCTGGCTACGACTTGTCCATGAGAAGGTAGAACTGGCTTGAGAGCTTCATTCCTTGCCGAGACAGCAGCAGTTGTCAGGTGCTGCTCTGAGTTAGTCAAGCCTGTGTAAGAGAGCCCACCTCCCCCCACCATTCGAACTCTACTGGAACTTTCCTCCCCTTCGTCCATCCTGTGGCCTGACCTGCCAGGCCTGCCCCGGGAGGAAATGGGAAGACAGAGGTAAAGGCCCCGGCCTTGGTTTGGGTCTTGCTATGAACCAGAACATACTTTTGTTATTAATTATTTAAGATTATTGCTGGAATAAAACCACTGATTTTAGAGAATACACACAGAACCTCGAAATGCACAGAACCCCAGGGTTCTCAGAACCCCGCAGTGTAATTTGAGCTCACACTGAGGGACGCTGTAAGGAACAACCCCATGAAACTCATCCTGTGTCTGACAAGGAGGTGACTGAGGACATCATTGCTGACATTATCGCTTATTTGGGAAAAGTTCCTTTCTAGTCTTAGAATCAAGAATTGTTGCACGTCTCTTAAGTTTTTATTTGAGGTTTTTATGTTCTGGACATGTTTGGTGTTTTCCTGACAGAACTCTTATCATAATTTTTAAACATATGTTGCTTTGGGAGATTTGTTTTTAATTGATACATAATTGTACATTTGTATGGGGTACACTGTGTCTTTTCAGTACATGGATACAATGTGGAATGATCAACTCAGGGTAATTATATATGCAGAACCCTACAGACAGCTTTAATGCATTCCTCTTATCTCATTTTGTATCTATTAACCAACATCACTCTACCCTATCCCCCCGCCTCTAATAATCACTATTCTACTCTCTGCTTCTAAAGTTCATAGCTTTTTATTTATTTATTTATTTTGAGAGAGAGAAAGAGAAGAAGATAGGGAGGAAAAGAGAGAGATAAGGTATTTGTTTGTTTGTTTGTTTAAGGTTTTTGACATAGGGCATGTGTGCTCACCAGAGAAAGAGACAGAGAGAGGGAAAGTGAGAGATCACCCCTTAGGGGAGTTGGCCATACAGAAATCCCTTCTCCTGGGATTTTGAACACATACACACATGCGTCTGGCATGATTTTCAAGCTGCCAGATCTAGGACTCAAACTGTGATAGGCCATGTGGGATGACAGAGCCTTAATCACTATGCCACCTGCTGGCCCAGAGCGAGGTATTTTTTGACAGGGTCTAGCTGTTGCAATTCTTTGCCTCAGCCCTTCAGTTAGCTAGGATTACAAATACATACTACTATGTCCGGCCGGTTCTGGTTCAAGTTGGTCTTTGATCTCAGCTTGGGCCTCCTCTGTGGCCCCAGCCTCACTCAGTGGTGCCCTACTGCCTAAGCCACAAGGCCGGGCTAAGGTCAGCTCCTTTAGTTACCACAGATGGGTGAATTGATGCATTTTTTTTCTTTTTGTGCCTGGGTTATTTCACTTAACATAATGTCATCAGTGTTGCCACAAATGACAGGATTTCAATCTTTTTAATGGCTGAATAGTATTCCATTATTTCTACAGATAGCCAGGCACAGACATCTAGTGATGCATGCATATCATCTATTCATCTGGTGATGGGCACTTTGGTTGCTTCCATATGTCAGTCACTGTAAACAGGCCTGCGGTAACACTGAAGGGCAGACATCTCTGGGCATTCCGGTTTCCTTTCCTTTGGGTGTATGCCTAGTAGAGGGATTGCTGGATCATGTGGTTGTTCTATTATTAGTTGTCTGAGGAATCTCCATCCTGTTTTCCATCGTGCCTGTTCTAGTTGACATTCCCACCAACAGTGTGGAAGCTCACTGGGAACATCCCTTGGTGAATGTCCATTTCTTCGTTTGTCCTTCAGGGACATCAGAGCAGAGACAGTGCCTGAAGCAGATAGCTTCAGGGGTACTTTGTCCTAGTACCCCATAAGGGTACTAGGACCTCGCACATAGTAGGCCCTCACTGAATGTTGAGAGAACAAGTGAATGAAGCACTTAACAAATAGAGGAAGCATAGGAGCCATGGGCTGGTCAGTTTGCTTCTTCCATGAGCTGCTGGGAAGTTGAGAGCTGGATTTGTTTCCTGCTTACAGCCAGTGTAGAGAGTCTCACACTCGAGTTTTTGGGCAGCCTCTTCTACATACCATTTGCTGTGTCTACCCTGCATTGCCTTTTTCTTTTCCATCTATTTCTCTTTTTTGTTTATTTGAGAGTGATTTTTACAATAGGGTGTGAGCCCTCAGTGGAGAGAGAGAGAGAGAAAGAGAGACAAAAAGACAGAAAGAGAGAAAACACCCTCTCCCTGGGGGGATGGCCATGCCACAACCCCTTTTCCTCAGTATTTTGGGCATGCACGTGCATGCGCCAGGTGTGAGTTTCAATTCTCTGGGTCCAGGACTCGAACTGAGGTCAACCATGTGAGAGTCCAGAATCTTAACCACTACACTATCTGCTGGCCCTTCCCATCTACTTCTGAGTTATAGCCTTGTTGTATCTCATGAATCCCTGCTCACTGTCTTACATCCCTTGTGGAACAAGACAGGTGATAGATATATTTACCGAAGTCTTTTCAGATATATTTAATTTCTTAACTCTAAATCCTGGGCCAACAAATACATTAGATCATCCGTAAACCTTAAGAATGATTGAGGCTCACCACTTCCTGCACTATGCTAAAATTTCAGACAAATGCAGTCCAAGCGAAACCACAGGTGGTGTGTCATTTCAGGTATTGTTGCGTACTGGGTACACGACAAGAACATTTCTAATAGGAGTAGGTAATTTGGTAGATAAAAAAGGACATCAGGCTTGCTATGAAACTGTTATGAGCTCTGGATTTTAAAAAGATACCTATTTTTAGTGGTTTTCAGACTGTACCGATGGCCACTAATAATGGAAAGTTTGCTTTTACTTGCGGAGAAGGGTGGAGTGGGACTGGCCAATAGCCTGGTCTATGGGCACTGGTGAAAGTCTGAAGGCTGAACAGAATAAAGGCAGAACATTACATAGTAAAAATATGGAACGGTCTACACCCCTTTGGAAATCTCTCACATACATTAGTCATGTGTTATTTGCAAGTCTGAAATTTCATAGCTATCTTCTCTGGTCATACTCATTTAAAGCACTTTCACCTTCAATGTTGACCAGCAATGTTTTCCTTAAAATAAGACATGACTCAAATCACATTAACGGGAGCACCCCTAGGGAGGGGGTTAAATATCTCAGGGATCCAAACAAGACCCACAGACTGCCTATGACAGGAGTTGGGGGCACCCTCTCCAACACCTTTGCTCCTGCCAGGAGCCCAGAACACTGCCCCCACCCTTGGGGTGGGTCAGAAGGCACCTAGTGTCCATTTAGGAACCTGAGATTCACTCGCTCTTATTTCTAAGCCTCATTGGAGTCCGTGGACTCTGAGAGAACTGCAAGAGGAGGGAAGAGTGGGCGTAAAGAAACAGATGGGTAATAATCGTGTGTCATAGATAAATGACGATCTTAAAGAGAATTTGATAGGGTGTAGGCTGGGGCTTGCTTTTTAAAATTAAATTAATTTGTTTTAATTTTTTTTGGCAGTGGATGGAGATTAGGGATGAGAAAAGGGAGGAGAAAAGGCAAGACAATAGGCCAGACCCGAGCGCCTGATCGGCATCCGAAAGCACTCCGCCCCTCCTTCCCTTCCCCCAACACCAGGTAGGCTGCGGTCACGATTTCAAAACAAGCAGACGCCGTCTCCGGCCTCCGGGACCCAGGGCGGCCTGCTTCCGGGGTGCAGGAGGAGAACGGAGGGGCGGCAGGAAAAGAGATAGGAGGAACGATGGAAGCTAAGGGATGAGCTGACTCGCAACATCTTATCGGAAACACTGGCCTTTTTTCCCTCCAAAGTTGTATAAATATCCAAACCCACGGGGCCCGCGCACGTGCCAGTTGCCGGCATCCAAACGCGGGCGGCTACCAACGCTGCACCTGCTCTGCTGCCCCTGCCGCGGGGCTTGCCGCCCGCAACCACCGCCGCGCCGG